TTCCCATCCACCCCAAATCCTGGCCAGACGCCAGCTTGCACTTCACCCGGCAGCCAGCGAACAGCCCGCTATTATAGGATGCCTCCAGTCTGCGTCCAGTGCGGTCGGGCGCGGAGTGTCTATTTCGGATGATTTAGGCTGAATTCCGATGATTCGCAGTCTCTCATCGTCCCAGTGTCGCCCATCCCTATCAATCCCAGGAGGCCATGGGGCAGGGTAATGAAATGGGAAGCCTGGTAATTACGCTGTAGTGAGTAATTATCAGGTTGTTTCACAAGCACTTTAAAGTCCCCGATGCACCATTTTACCAGCGTGTGACAGCGGGATGGCCTTTTTCACAAAGGGACCTCCCTATCAGAGGCGTGTGTCCGCATTTTGCCACCTGCAGGGGGCAGTGTCTTCATATGCACCGACCACCTCCACCCTAATCTGGCATCTCAGATGGTATTTATGTGGGGTTTTGGGCACACATGGACCCTGTAACCCGCTGCTAATCCTACAGTGTGAATTCACAACCTCGTAACCACAAGTTTGAGATCCGAAAGGCAATCTGACAAGCATGTGAAGGCCTATCCCACAACGTACTGACAGATGAACGGGCCGCTGATAGCTCTGACAAGAGCAATTTTCACAGATGGTAGTTTAAAGCGTACGAGGGGAGTAAAGACAAGACATAGCGCTGGTATAATTACAGGGAGGGGAAACAAAGAGGAAAATCTATCACTCGGCCATCGTTTAACAACTAAGATGGATCTCTCCGTCTGTGATCGTCCGACTGGCCTCCCCAGAGGCGGCACGACTGAATTGCAAACTCTATGTGCAACTCATGATAAATCTCTCTGTGTGTGTGAGAAAGAGATAGCCGTCCCCCTTCTCGGCGCTCGTTGGAGTGTGCGTCTCTGGAGAGCATGTCTGCGCGTTTATTTGGCTTAATTACTATGCTGCATTCACAGGGGGAGTGAGAATGAATGACACTTCACTTAACGACTATCCTCTCCTGGCCAACTACTGTCTGCCCACCGCCTTCATTAAAACAGCCGCTCTCTTCCCCTCCCGCTCCCTCTTTGCCACTCTTCCTCCATCCTTTCCTCTCTTCCACACATATATATATATATATATATATATATATACACATTACACACAGTATATTTTCATATATATTAATAATACATAAATAATAATATTTCATGACAGCAAAAATGCATGATTTAAAAAATTTTAATATTTTGATATTATATCAATATTATATAAATACACAGTACAATTTTATGACAGAAAATGAGATTAACGAACAAATTCTGCATCAAAAACAATTCTTTCTAGTAATATTTGTTCAAAATTCACTCAACAATTATTAAAAAGGGAAACTTTTCATTTACAAGGCTGTCAGTAGATTTTGGAGGTAGAATGCTGACTTCTAAATGATACGTTACTATTTGCATGCTACTAGTCTTGTATTTCTGTGTGCTATTTGCTCTTTAGACATTATCTGTCTTAACACACCTGAATAAAATGCTACAATAGACTGTTTTCTAACCAGGCATAAAGCGTTAAAGTAACAAGCGATTAAATCTTTTTGTTCATATCTAACAACGAGCGACAGGATATTTGACATTTTATCACATCTTTAGTTATGTATGTCTGTGGCATCGCACTGGAAAGCTGCCCTGCTCTAGAGATCCCATTTGTCTGAAATCCTATTCCACACAAGTGTAACACAAACACCAATTATCATTTGATTGGCGGTGGTTGTGTTACGTCACACAGCATTTTCGCAATCGTTGGAAACATCTAGTTTGTTCTCAGTTTAAAAGGATTCAGAATTCAGTAAAAAAAAATAGTTCTTATCCAATGCGAAAACATGTTATTGTACAGAATGTGAGTCATTTTGACATCCCCAATGGATTTTTTGCATAGCAGTACAGATTGTGTGTGTTTTTATGTGACTACATCTGTCAATCAAACTTAATCCAAATCCATTACGACATACAAAAAAACTCAGAAAAACATATCCATAAATTGCACAGGTGGCATAAGTTTGGAAAGCATTTTGATGACGCAATGTGAGACTGTTTCCCACAATGCTTTGGGTCATCCAAGCACAACAGCATTAACTCAGAGAAGCGTGTGATTGATCACAGGTGGACCTGCATCTTTTATATATTAAAGTCTCCAGCCTTTCCTCTTAAAGTTAAACAGCAGATGCTGATGCTCGGAGCAACAATTGGTTTCTTAAATCCTCTCTGTTCTCTGGCTCTCTCTTTCCTAACAACACATTCTCAGACAAAAATAAATTGTCTTTTTCACTCCTCCTTCATTCTCTGTCTCTATAAAAGAAACGAGAGGCCGTTAAATGGACCCTGGTGGGGTAAACCCATGCCACACACAGATCTTACAATCAACACACCAGAAGCGCAGATTCACTGACAGAACAGAAGGCTATATTTACCAAATGAGGGAGAGAGAAAACCGCCACACATACATGCGTATTCATACGTTTGGTCATGTTCCTGAACAAAGAACCACAGCAAGCCCGCTAAGCTTACATTAAAAAGCGAAACGGCCCAAAATATGCCAAAAATGCTGCCGCTTATTTCCGTGAGAGATGAAAGCTCTGGGTTACAAAGAGGCTGCTATAGTCTGGATCTCTCCGCTGTCTCCTTTAAAATAGCACAGCCCAGAGAATAACATGTTTGCTGTTACCACCATTCACGCATATTGGCCAGCATCGTCAAAGCATTCGAATACAATGTGTTGAGTACTGTATGAGAGAATAATGCTAATACACAATGTGTGCGAGCATAAGTATGCATACTTGCTAGAATGTGTACACATGCCATTTATTGTGACAAAGCTAGTAAACGCAAAGGTATTTCGGCTTCAGTACAAGTTGAATTGACAGCCGTTTTTTAGCACTAAAATGTCCCACTTATCCCTCCCTTTAATCTAAAAAGGCAAAATTCTAGGTTAAATGAGGCACTTACAATGGAAGTAAAAGAGAAACATCGGTAAATGTTAAAACACTCACTGTTTCAATAGTATAGAAACAAAACATAAACCATATACATACGTTAACATGATTTCAGTGTGGAAAAAGCCTCCATTCTCACACATCTTGCTGGCCAAAAACACATCAGACACATTTTCTGTCTCACACACACATATAATGTCTCACTCACAATTATCCAATAGGAAAACAAGTTATTGTACAGTACAAGTTACTGTATGTGGGGCCTGATAAGAAGTTTTCTTGATACTGATCTTTATATTTATAATAAATAATTAAATATAGATAGATTATTTTTCTCTCAATTTTTTCTCAAAACATTTGTTTTCAAATATTCTCTCTCTCTCTCTCTCTCTCTCTCTATATATATACATATATACACATATACACACACATATATATAACATGCATGCATTAAAATATATATTTACTATATATTCATAAATAAATATATATATATATTTTTTTTACGGACCCTGGTGGGGTAAACCCATGCCACACACAGACCTTACAATCAACACACCAGAAGCACAGATTCACTGACAGAACAGAAGGCTATATTTACCAAATGAGGGAGAGAGAGATCACCGCCACACATAGATGCGTATACTTTTGGTCATGTTCCTGAACAAAGAACCACAGCAAGCCCGCTAAGCTTACATTAAAAAGCGAAACGGCCCAAAATATGCCAAAAATGCTGCCGCTTATTTCCGTGAGAGATGAAAGCTCTGGGTTACAAAGAGGCTGCTATAGTCTGGATCTCTCCGCTGTCTCCTTTAAAATAGCACAGCCCAGAGAATAACATGTTTGCTGTTACCACCATTCACGCATATTGGCCAGCATCGTCAAAGCATTCGAATACAATGTGTTGAGTACTGTATGAGAGAATAATGCTAATACACAATGTGTGCGAGCATAAGTATGCATACTTGCTAGAATGTGTACACATGCCATTTATTGTGACAAAGCTAGTAAACGCAAAGGTATTTCGGCTTCAGTACAAGTTGAATTGACAGCCGTTTTTTAGCACTAAAATGTCCCACTTATCCCTCCCTTTAATCTAAAAAGGCAAAATTCTAGGTTAAATGAGGCACTTACAATGGAAGTAAAAGAGAAACATCGGTAAATGTTAAAACACTCACTGTTTCAATAGTATAGAAACAAAACATAAACCATATACATACGTTAACATGATTTCAGTGTGGAAAAAAACACTTTCTAACCCTTTCCGTGTAGTTACTTCTAATTTCGACAACTTTGTTGCCACGACAATAGAACACCATAAACCCTAAAATGACTGTAAAAATAGATTTACAGCACACGTTTTAAAGGGAGAATCAATGTTAGTGCTCTTATCGAATTACACGCTTCACGTTTCACTTTAAAATGTTCACTTTCAAAATTGGCCACATTCACGTTAGTGCTTCACTGTAACACATTTTTTTATCTCCTTTCTTTTTTTTAAAGAAAATAACAGAGGAGTCAAAATTATATGCGTGCTAATCAGCATACTGTCAATTGAGCTTAACATGCATTGAACCAGGAATATTCCCTTAAAGGATTGCTGTAAAATCAATTTGGAGGCATGAGAAATTAGACTTCTGGCTGCAAATGCAGAGTCATTACCCACGATACCTCATTCAGAGTTCACAAGCCGTATGAAAGGGTACCAGTGCAGAGTTTAGAACTACAGGACAGTGCAACTGGAAAAATTATATAGAAGAGCCAATACATGCACTTTGAACACATGGAAACAATCTGTTAGGGCAAAACGAGACTAAATCACATGCAAGAGAGTGAGAGAGACTGTCAAAATGAAACAGCAGAGTGACAGTGAAGGAATCCAAATATACTGTATATATATATATATATATATATATATAGGCAAAAAAGTCAAATTTACGAATGTAAATAGGTGTAAGACAAGTAATTAGAATTAGAAAAGGTAAAAAGGCTTGTATGTGTTGGTGATGGGACTGGTTGCAAAACTTACCCTTGTAGGAGAGCTTGAGTCTGGGCACGCTCTCTTTGGTGTGCTGGGGTGCAACTCTTCCAGGTAATGCCACCCCACACAACAGCAGAAAAATCCCAACTAGGTAATCCATGGTGCTGGAGCGCTGGCCTCCAGCCCAGTGGGGCTTGCAGCCCACAGTGCCCAGAGCAAAGTGCTTCCCTCTGGGATAGCGGAGATCTTCGGAGTCCCTCCTTACTTCAAAAGATCCAGCGCCTGGAGCTTCTCCCCAAGGAGGCAATCCGAAATCAGATCCCAAGTGAAGCAGGAGACGGGGGTTCACATGGCTCCATGTGGGGGGCGTTTCACCGGTCGTGGGGGTAAAGGTGTACTCCTCAGGGATGCGTTCTCGGACCCTGGTGGGGAGGACCGGTGAGTGGGATTGTGTGTTTATGGGAAAGGTAGAGTTTCAGTAAGGGATCCGGCAGACCCTCTCTCTCCGCTATGGCTTCGCGCACACACGCTCTCACACACACTCTCACAGACTGCTGCTTGTGTCCACGTCTCAGCCTGAATGAGAGGGAGAGAGAGAGAGCAGTACACCATCCACCGGAGCACAGGAGGGGAGGGGAGAAGAGGAGAGGGAGGGTAAGCAGCTGAAGGGGGAGGACGAGGGAGCTGAGCTGAAAGGAGAGGTATGCGAAAGACTCTTCTGCAAAGGTTTGGCTGCTCTGTGTCCTTCTTTTCTGCATTGCTTATAGGCTGCACCTACAGTGCATTGTCTTCCCTCCTCTCCTTTTTGGCTTTCTGGAAGACCATCATATTTCATCACATTCTGAGCCTCTAGAATATTTCTGTTTGTCTGTGCATTAGCCTGGATTTATGTGTTTGAGTAAAATTAAAATAGTGATAATGAAAATTGTATAAAAGGGTTGATTAATATAGCATACTTACATATTTAAATAACATTACAAATATTCAAACAAAAATAATATTAAAATATTATATTAAAACTTCTTTATTTGTAATTATTTTTTTTAAATTAATAATATAAAAAAAAATACAAGAAATTCTATCTATCTATCTATAATAAAAATGATTAATATAATAAATTAACCATAAAAATAAAAAATAAAAATAAAGGAAGAAGTAAAAAAAAATTATAAAAAGAAATATCTAAATTCAGAAATTGAGGTTAATAAATACTCTAAAATAAAATAAAAATAGAAAAAAAAAAATCCTCATGATCCAAGATTAAATCAATAAATCATATATCTATCTATCTATCTATAATAAATAAATAAATAAACTGTAGAACAAATTCTCTGCTACTTTAAAGTATTTCTCTTTTTGTCATTGTGAGAAATGTTCCTCTTTGGTGTCCATAAACCAACTTCAGCCTTTCTATTAAAATATGTGGCAAGCAAATGAGATTTACTAGTAATACTTAAAACATAAATTAAAAAGTAATACATCGAGCTAGACTATCCTGCCTTCTTACCCCTCACTCACTCTCTGCTTGTTGTAACAAATCCTCTGATAGACAGAGGTGTTAATGTGTGATTTTTCACCCCTGAGTGCTAAAGACAAAAGTGCCTCACAAACACCAGCTGAGTGTGTGAAGGTATTTCACAACCTCGCAAATGCGCAAAAAAGAACAAAAAATCAACAGATCTCTCAATGCCTTTGGCATGTCTGTATATAAGTGTTTCCTGCTTTCATGAGAGGGTCTGTGCCAATGTCTCATCACCTTTACAACCAAACATGCTCTTTAGGTGTTTACACCACATAGACCTGCGGAGATGATGGACAGACACTACACCTCCTCCTCCTTAGACATCAGGAGGCTAAAAACATCCACCTGCAGCCTGGTCTCTATCCACTCACAGCCGATCCGCTGGCATGCCGAGGTTTTCCTCTGGTCGTCGCTCTTCTGTACCGCAACTATGTGGAGGGGATTTGTCAGGGTGCTTTGACTAATGATGTCTTAATGAATTGCGACTCGCCGTGCGCTAAAACGAGATAGCTCATTGACAACTAGTTTCCAGAAGCCTGTCAGTAGCAAAGTGGCAAATATAGCCTCTGAAACATGAGATCCACAGAGGAGCGGCCTCCTCGAAACACAGCAAATGGATCCTGTCAGTCAGAGTGGCTTTGATAAATACGGCATTTGTGCTGAGGATGTAGGCTTGCTAAGTGTTTGTGTAATCTTTAGTGCAAATGCAATGGGTCTTTGACACCTGCTGGTGTGGAATGATTTGTGCAATCTACTGTACAAATAACAAATGTAAATAATTACCTGTCTGTCACTTACGACTAGGCCTATAGGCAAATGCTCACATTGCTGGCATGTATATACATGCAGAAGCACACATGTGCATGTACAAATCAATGACACGTAGGTGACTTCTTGTATTCATCCTTTGTTCCAAGAAATGACTGAAGGTGATATAAGCGACGGTTGGTGATGCAAAAACGAATTAGTATTTTTGTCTAATTTTTCAGTTAAAATATCTAAAAATCCTTAAAACAAGGATAATTTACTTTAGAAATGCAAACGGGATCAACTAGGATCATCAAAATACCACAAAATACCAAAAAATACCACATTTATCAATATATATATATATATATATATATATATATATACACACAAACACACACAATCTAAAATGTAAAATAAACTGTAAAATAAATGTAAAAAAATTAGTAAAAAAAATTTAATTATATAGCCTTTAAACAAATTTTTTTTGCTTTAATTATGTGAACACCTCTTTACGTGAATTAAACCTTCACTCTCTCATTCAACTAGCCTTTTCCTTCCTGTACTGTGTTCTTTAGAGGTCATTATCATGAGTATTATGATAACTGGCAGCCACGTTCAAGGTTCCACTCCACCAGAAGGAACTTCCTGTTAAAGAGGTCACATTTCCTGCCTGAGTAACACACAGCAGTGACGTCTCTCCGAATCATGTACAGTAAGTTAGCAGATATCAGTAAACCACATGCACTTCCCCTGTGACTACTGAAAGAGTTTTGGTTTAGGTGAAAGGAGAATGATGGGAGTGGAGGAGAGGAAGGATAGATGGAAAAAGAGAGAGGAGAGGTGTAATGTTTGCGTGGCATAAGAAGTCAGTCTCCACTCTACCCACATCCTCCACTCGCCATGATGACAGCTCAGACGCCTTGGTCTGCTCAATCAACACATGGCCCAGTGAAAGAGAGAAAGAAATAGAGAGAGAGAGAGAGAGCAGTAAAAAACACAAATCACATCTGCTCATGAACAACAAGCCTGAAGATTGATAGACTGGAATTTTGCATATCAGACATCACAAGTAATACTGTTTTATTAAAGTTATAAGGACAGACAGACAGAT